ACTGCCCAGAGATATACCAAGACACTGCCCACCGTGGCCGCCATTGGCGCTCCGCAAGGGGCACCAGAACCGCTGGTAGCGGTGCTACCAGTGGGGGACACACCTGGGGAGGTGGAAAAAATCTGAAAAGATTGGTTAAAATATGTTAAAATGTTGGAAAAAGATTGCAAGAAGTGATAAAAATTGATATAACATGGATAAAGACCGGGAAGTTCTTGAGGAAGAGTGATTATCGCGCTGATATGAGCCGGAAATATTAGATGGAGGTTTGAAGAATAAAAGTGTGATTTTGACAAAGGAATCAAGGGAAAAAAAAAAACATGCAAAAGCATGCAAAAACGGTAAAATGATAAATGTGCGGCTAACATGGGGTTACACCTTAAAACCCATGGTTTCCCACTTTGACCACGGAGCGGGGCCTCTGGTGGAGTCTCCTGAAAGACATCCGAGATTTCCAGAACCGCCTCCTCGGGTGAAGCGGCTGGTCATGTGTAGACTACCTTGGAACCCCCCAAAAATGTTCGTATCAGTCGTATCATTCGTCTCATTCGTATCATGTTCATTATCAGCAGATCTCTTAGATCCGATTTTCTTGGGGTTCCATGTTCGGATGTAGATATGTGACATCGTACACGTCGTACACTTACCATTTTCCTGGTCATTCCAAGCTGTTCCAAAGCTCGGATTGAATCGCAACGTTGACATATGGCATCCAGTCTTCCAGCCCGGCTTACCATGTTTGTGGGGATGCAAGAATCAACCAACCAAATATAGACAGATATGGGTTTGGCCCGGAATTTAGAACCCCAAAATCCCAGTTTGTCATCATGTTCCCCATTTTTAACTTGCCAGAATTTGGGGGCCCATTCCCAATGTTGAGACGCACCATTGTTGCTGTTAACTACTAGCGTCAGTACCTCTGTCGTTTACCTAATCCTATAGCTAAATCAATTCGTTTATGTATGATGATATGTTCCTATTAGGCAAGTTATTTTTCCATTACTTACTATGTGTGTAGCATTTAACCAATGTCAAGTTACGTCACTGACATCCATTAATTTTGCTTGAAAAATGATTGATGGCTAGTATCAATACTATCAATATAGGCACTATTGCCATTAACACTATTCTTGAAGATGGGGATAGGCCCATTATCATTAAAATATATCATATAATATCATAAATTAATTGCTATTTAACTAGGATTATATACTACAGTCAATAATAGTCAATACTACCATTGACTTTCGCTTGATAAGAAATTGTAAATCATAGTCACAGTCTTGACTATAGTGAAACAAATATCAACTTACTATTCTCAACTACATATTGACTATGGTTAATTACAAACAAAAATATATTCTTTGGAAATTAAAAAATAGCTCTGGAACATGGTCATTTATAGATGATTTACCATATTTCCCTACTAAAGATCATTTATGGATGATTTACCATGATTTACCATGTATCATTTATAGATGGTTTATAGATGATTTATAGATGATTTATAGATGATTTATAGATGATTTATAGATGATTTATAGATGATTTATAGATGATTTATAGATGATTTATAGATGATTTATAGATGATTTACCACATTTACCCTAAAGAACTCTAAAAATGGTTCATTTTCAGCGCCAGGTCACAAGGCTGGCCTTGGGCACCTCCTGCGGACGAACCGCGTCCACCGCGGCAACCGCCGTGGAAACCGCCGCGTCGGCGTCCGAGGCGTCGGAGGGGGCCACCATTGGCGCCTGGGGACGGGGTTTTTCTGATGAAAAATCAGGGCGATTGGATGGGATTACCCATATATATATATATTATATATATATATATTATTTTATATGTTGTATGAAATATACTTTATAAGTATATCTATATAATTATCTTATATACCTCATATAAGTATACAATACAATATATATATATACAGATTATGAGAATGATTTACGTAATTTATGACGAATATGAAAAACTAATATGTTAACTTATAATACTTTAATACTTTACAAATACTAAGATTCTAATAATGATAAAGGATCATATTAGAATTTGCAATAATAATATTGGGATATCTGTAGTATCTACAATATGATTATCTATATTATACTTGGGGATCTGGTATTGTGGATTATTACAGTATTGTGGGATGATCCTCAGTGGTGTTTTATCCAAATAAGTATCTGGATAATTCAAGACATTCGCAATACCATAGTCAATGTCAATATGTCGATAGTTTAACATCATCCAGAATAATACCTGCTCAATTAGTTGATATTTAATCTCAGAAAGCTTTCCAGAGATTACATCCTCTACCCTCTGGTAATTTAACATAGCTATGGAAAATAACCATTTTATAGCTGGGTAAATCCACTATTTCGACTGGGCCATTTTCAATAGCAAACTGTTAGTTTACCAGAGGGTATCTCCATTAAATCACCATTAAATCCCATTAAAACCCATTAAATCCCATTAAATCACCATTAAAGCCCATTAAATCACCATTAAATCACCATTGTACAGCCCCATACTACTGGATATTCACCCACTCTGACAAAGCAATGGCTTGGACTGGTCGACCCATTGCCAAAGACGCCTCCAACGTTGAGAGTGCCACATTAATCCTTGGAGCCAAGGAAAGCCATGGAAATTTGCCAATTCAAATGGGGAAGAAATGGATATCTGATACCTAAACATGATATATATATATACAAAAAATCGACCTAAAATTTGATGATGTTGACCCTTCTCTATCCTTGTTGGATAAATCAACAGTGGATATTTGTTGGTAATAGAAATTTAGGGACTTAACCAACTCAATCCAAATACTAAGGGATAAACGGTGTTTACCATTAGGGAATAGTTTATATATATATATATATGTATGTATGTATGTATGTATATATATATATGTATATATATATATACAAAACATTACAAAACAGTACCCTAAAACTCGTTGTCCAGTTGGCCAGTTTTGGGGGATTCCGCATTCCTGTTCGAGGGAGCAAACAGACACTGATGCGTCTTACTGCGTCCATGTTCAACCAGGTCTCCTGTGGCTTAAACTTATCTCAATCTTGAGTTGCTATTGATTCTTATTAAGCAATACAAGTAGTAAGTAACTGTTGATTATCTATATAAATCTTGAGTTGCTATTGAAAAATGGAGAAAAATGTCCAGATCCAGAAAGCACCCAGCGCGCGTTTACTGAGTTTCTGTTTGGCGAACTCTTCCAGGTCCTCCACGGACGGTAAGCGCGCATCACCTGGTTCGGGGCTATCACCAAGCATGGCCAGAAATGACCAACATGGCCTGCAAGAAATGGTGCTGTTCACGATCAACCGGGACCAATCGGATTTCGAGGATTTCAGAGGATTCCATAAAAAATCTAAGGTGAAAATATCCAAAATCATCAGTGTTCCATATCAGTGTTCCATATCACCAGTAAAATATAGTAAAATAGGATTTCATCAGGTTCTAAAATCATCAGGGATTTCTAATTCCACTATATTTCAGGATTAGCGTTCCATTGGGGGATCTCGAGGCAGCCGCCTGCGACCTCTGCTTCCATCAGCACTTGGATCTCCTCGATGGAGGCCATCAGGGCGGTGTATTCCTGCCGCCACTTTCTTAAGTCATGGCAGTGGTTGATGGGGGTGTATTTCATCGGGATTTCAAGGGGAGTTCATGATGTTTATTGGTGTTTAATAGGGATTTGATGGTGTTTAGTGGGGATTTGATGATGATTTAAGGGTGTTTAATGGGGATTGAATAGCGTTTCCCAGAGATTCGCTCTTGAAATTGTTGTGGTTATATCTTTGCCGACCATCTTCTGCTACCCCTGGTCATGTCGTTTCTAATTGATTGGAAGTTCACAATGGAACCATTGGTCATTGAATCAGCATTGATAAGTAACTGCTGGTTTATAATTATGATATCAATATAAACCAACAGTTATGTTACTGTTGGTTTATGGTAACTGTTGGTTTATGTCATGTGGCAATTACCTGTGATAATTCTGGTAGTTACTAACGATCAATGGTAGTTGCTCAAATGATTATTCAATAGTAACTTGTTGGGTTATTGATAACTGTTAGTTGACAATGGTCATTGAGCAATTGAATCACCATATGTTCACTATTATGTGTAAAACTAAAATGATCAATGGTAAATCATTGTAGTTCATTGTAATCGTCAAACTCAATTCTAACGGTAATATAACTACAGTTCTCAAAATAATGATTATCATCATGATACTTGTAATTATAAAATTCAATTCTAATCCACATGTCCTACACATCTGCGGATGTGTTTACCTCCTGATGAGACGTGAAAATGGTGACAGATTTTTCATTAAAAAAACCAACGAAATCCACCAGGCCTGTCGCCCGGCCTGTCCGGGCGGCCCTTCCCAAAAATCGGTCCTGATCCAACTGCTCGGTGAGTTCTATGGCCAGTTTTTTCAATTCCTGAGATTCCGAGATTCGGCCGGAGGTCGGGGTCAGGTATGGCCGAAGGTCGTGTCGTAAAAAGCTGGTCGTAAAACAGACGGATCTGTACATGAAGATCATATGAATATGTTCTAAGATGTTCTAAGTATAAATTGGATTTTTTTAAAAAAAAATGTCTATATAATTTATATAATGTTGATGATCTGTAAACTGACGTCTTCATAATATGTATTCTAATATCTGTCAATGGTTTCTGCAAGGGGCATGGTCACCAATTCGAGCGGTGATATATCTCAATGATCGCTGGGAGTCAGAAAATGACCAACTTACAAAGCGAGGTCTGAGGGGTTTGCTCCTGTCAACCTCCAATCTATGGATCAAAACCCTGGTAGCCTTCTGTTCATTTCAAAATACTTAGGATATGCCAGGAATTGTTACCCTCTGGTAAACTAACATAACTATGGAAAATCACCATTTTCAATGGGTAAATCCACTATAAATGGCCATTTTCAATAGTTATGTTAAATTGCCAGAGGGTAGGATCTATTGATGTCCACTCCTCCCAACATGGCGATGCCGTTTTGATTCCTCCCCGTCTCGAAAACCCGGCGATGCCGCCAGAGCGGCGGTGTTTTGCCGCCTCTTCCGCGCGGTTGCTGTGGTGGCATGCCATGTGATGTCGTCCACCATACTGGTGATCTCGGACACCTCGGTTTTAAAGGGAAAATGTCCGGTTGAAACCCTGGGTTTTCCATGGTTTTTTTCACATGAAATATGATGAAATATGGTTCCCAGGGGTCCTGCACGTGTTCCCTATCAATTCTGGAATCATCCCATCTTCAAACCTAAGTACGACTCCTCAAAAATCCATCAATGCCATGGATGTTTCCGTCAACATTGCTGGAAACAAAATATGATCTGGGTTGATGTTGAAGAATTTCTTCAGACCACACCATCGATATGGGTTTGTCTGAAAGTACCATTAAAATCTCACGGCTGATGATCGTGTTCCCCATTGAATGGCCACAAATCAGGGGGTAAATTCCACCATTCTGAAACAAACGCATGTGCGCTTGCATAATTGTAACTCCTCAACCCTGAATCAGCACCAATTCCAACACTCCGGTTGCGCACGAAACTGGGCTGGGGATATGTGCCATGCAGATCAAGATTAATGAATGAAATTTTAAATTGCGTGACATGAAGGTTCTTCTCTACTGAACTGTCATTGAGGTGGGTATGGGTCAAGCCACCAAAAAAAGTGGATGGTTCCAAGAGTTGCCAAGCAATCGCAACAAGTTTCGCGCCTAGATGTGGGTAGTTTGTTCAAAATCTCCAATCTATGCTATAATGCTGGTCAAAAAGTTGCCATGTTGACTGCACGAAATCGCAAGAAGTATGTCAATTTTCCTGGCAAGAGACCCCAAACTGTAACAGTGTGTAGTGTGTAGTTAGGATTCTAAAGGGAAAGGCAAAGGTGTTACAGTAGATGGACGAAATATTCAAACCCCTTCTATCCGGTACAACCCCCTCGCCCCCCAAGTTCAATGTTAATGTAACCTGAAGTGCATTAGCCCCAATGGACCAAAAAAATCAAACCCCTAACATCACTTTTAGTAACACGCGCGCTGAAACATTGAGATTTGCGAGGGGGGTTCAAGATAGTGCGTGTTGCAGGGTTTGAATATTTTGTCCATCTACTGTAGTAGTGCATGGTGTTCATTCAAGGTGGTCTCTGGAAGGAGAGATGCCAGGTTCGATTCTGAAGATCCCTTTGTGAGATCTCTGTAGAAGATCGTGCGCAAGATATCCTTGACAGTTTCTCTGTGCAAGCTGCTGTGCAAGATCCCTTTGTAAGGCTATCTGCGCAAGGTTTCTAAAAGAGATCTCCACAGAAGATCTCTGTAAGAGATCTCAATGTAAGATCTCTGGCCAAGCTCTTTATAAAAGGTCTCTGAGCAAGATCTCTCTGTTCTCTTCACCAGGTCTCTGTACAAGATCTCTATAAGAGGCAGGCAAAAGCCAAGCGTTTGAGGTTTCAAGTTGCTCTGGAAAACACAAGCTACATAATGGCTACATAATCCCTTGCGCCTAACTTCAAAAACCAAGACCGCCCGATCGAAATCCTCACATGCAGCTTTTGTCTGCCACGCTCAGGGTTGATACCTGCCTGCCTACAAGCGGCACGTAGGCTTCGTCAACCTCCCAACACGCTTCCTGCCTGCGCAACAGAAAGGACAATCAAGACACACGAGCCCAGATGGTCCAGTTCATCTCGAACCCCTTCGCTTGCGGTTGTCAGAAGTGCCGCCAAGGTGATTTGTTGCTTCCTGTTCTGGTCGAAATGCACATGGACATCGCAGAGGTCTGTGTCGAGGTCTACAAAGTACTGCGCCTGCCACGAAAAATGAATCCCAGCCAAAGCCAGCCAAGCACTTTGTGCAAGCCTGCGCAGTCGAAATGCGCGTGGACATCTCACAAGAGCGATTTTATGCGAGAATTTACAGGAAAAAAACCGGTGAGCAGAGAGCATACCCTGATCTAACCCTGGCCTGAACACTTACCGTAAGAACCCTTCAGTGTGGACAGTCGACACACTGTTTGGGGAAAAAAAAATGCGCGAAACCGCAAGAAGTATGTCAAAAAAGACTGTCATTGAAAATCAGATGGAAACCCAACTATTTGATAGTAGAATCTCCATGGTTATAGATTGTCCCTTGAACCGACCCAATCAAAAAAACAAACACCACAAAGTCTAACTTAAGTGTCAAAAAAACACAAACACCTGCTAAGTGTGTGGTATCTCTGAACCTAACGTTCCGTGTCCCTTAACTCTTTCGAAAAAAACCATGCCATGAACGCCAGGCGCCACGGCACCATTTCGGCCGTGGCAAAGCTCTGTTCATCCAACGCGTCCAACGCCGTACTGGGCGCCCGCGTCGAAGCGCAGATGGTGAGGCCGCTCCTTGGGAAAGGTCACAGATGTTGCCATGGGCAGTAAGGCAACCAAAATAACAACGGGATATATATATATATATAATACACATGAGTTACTTCAACAGGATATTATTTTTTTAAAAAAATGTGGAATTAACCATCAAAAATAATGAAAAAGGCGATTCCACCATGAAGAATAGGGGATCTGTTTCATAAAATTGGCATATGCCTTGGCAGTACACCAACCAAATCGGGGATATGTTATGGGAAATGATATGTTGCATATGCATAGATATATAGTGGGACTGTCATGGGATTTACCAACCCGTTTATCGGGAGACAATGGGGATTCAATCGGATATATAATTATATATAACCAGGTAATTAAAAGGTCTTGCAGATTTAGTTGGAATTCCATCAGTAACCACTGGGCGAACTGATTTGATGCCGATGAAGATCTTCCACTGCGCTTGCGGTATGCGCTTCTGCCATGCCGGCTGCTACTGAAAATGGGAATCCCTTGGTGTCAAAATGTTGTCTAGATGTCATTGGATAAAAAAATTCTTTGAATTTCTAGACATCAACTCGCCATAACTCACCATAACTCACCATAACTCACCATAACTCATCAATACATCTCTGAACTCATCGTTTTTTTCCTTGGAATCTCACAGCCACAGCCAGCGACCGAGGTGCTCCAGATCGAGCTTCGAAACGCCTGGAGATCCCACGGATCCCACGCACTGCCTGCCACATTTTGTGGATCAATTGAGGCTCCAAAATGGAGGCTTTTATGAAATGACATTGGGACATATTACTTAGGACATATTAGAAAAAATATTAGAAAAAATATTGGAAAAAATATTAGAAAAAATATTAGAAAAAATATTAGGACATATTAGGACATAACCTATGGATATAAAACAACACAAAGTGCTGAAAACCTTCGTCCCATCACCAAGTGACACGTACGACAAGAGGCGCTCGCCACTCGGCGCGCAGAGATCTTCGGCCTTCAAGCCATGGCGTTGGGCTTCAGATTTCCTCAGGATGGATGGCAAATGTAGAGAAAATGCTGATGAAATGCTGATGAAACGGTAACTAACCAATGGAATTGGAGGTATACCCGGTAATTTGACAGTTTGCTCCTGAAAAATAGCCACATATACTTTGACGATTACCGATTTACCTATGAAAAATGGTGATTTTGCAGTTCGTGAACTGTTAGCCAGTACCAGAAGGTAAATTGATGACATTTGTTCATCGCTGGTTTTTTGGAAGCCCGGGTGAGGATGATCAACCAGTGGATTTTGGAATGTTCCCCCAAACTCTTAGACACACCCATGAAAACTAGGATATCCCGGTACATAAAAATCATATTCCATTATATAATATTATATCCCATTGCAGTGTGTATATATATATATCCATTTTTTGGTTGTTAAATATCACCAATCATTGGTGGTTCAAGCCATTTCAAGCCCATAACATAGGATCAAAAACCAAAATACGATCAACAATCCCACCAAAAAGATCCAAAAAGTTCAGAAAAACCTCAAATTCCCATAGTTTTTCCATGGTTTCCCTGGTTTTCTCCACGGTTTTCCCATGTTTTCCCCATGGGAAAAGTTCACCCCGCCCAGCGACAGCATCTCCCAGCGCAGCGCCGCCTCCTCGGCGGCCCGGTGGCGCTCCGGGGCGCGCCCGAAGTGCCCTGCGTGCAGATCACCTCCACGTGGCGTCAGCGGTCGAGGTCGCGATCGATATGATCATTACATAGTGATATAATATGTATAGTATATGTATATAATTTAGTGTATCACCTAGATATTCTATTATTTTTGATCATGTATAATTAATGATGAATATAGAATATCTGTATCATATATATATATGTCATAATGAATGATATGTTCACATAATGATAATCGTGGTGCCTAAGATCTCCTGGAAGCAGCGCAGTTCTCTCAGGGCATCCTGCCGCAAAAACGGCAGATTCTTTAGGAATCCCATCCACCGTAATATCAAACTTAATGGTTAATGGTTATAATATGTTACAATATAATGGGGAATAATATATGGTTAATGGTTACAATTCATAATATGTTTATGTTAGAATATAATGGGGATAAATTGTGATTTAAGACTATTTACCCTCTGATTCTTCAACATAGCGGAAGCCATGGCCCATCTAGCTCGATCATAAACATGATGACTTACCGTCTTTAAGCATTTGGTTTTTCCATAGCTACATTAAATTATCATAGGGCAAAGGAATGTAATTAAAGGATATTATGGGGATATTCCATGGGATACAGAAGAACTTCTCCAGCTCCATAGTATTGAACACCCCCCAGAAACTATGGTCGAATAGGGGATGAACTCACATTTTTGGGCTAACATTTCTGAGGTTCTCCGTCTGGGGGATGGATTAGTGCATCAGTTTCTTGGGAAGGACAGGATCATGTCAACCCCAAGAAATATACCCTGAAGATTAGAAATCAGGCGTACCCCCAAACTAGTGATGATGCTAAATGGATCCAAATGGTACTGGTACCCCCAAAGCAACACAGCTTAGCGGTTTATTTACAGTATTCATCAGTGCCTCTTCGTTGTGTATTATACTCCTCAAGAATCCTGAACATAAATACCAAATCTGACTTCCAGTATTCAGGCAATTTTGGATGGGTCCCCCCTGTGAACCAAATATGTGCCATCATGGAATGAAGTATGTTTCATGAAATTGTATGTTCTTGATCATGGCTACTTTTTGACAGGAAATTTGTACGTGCGTGAAACGCCTTAACCTTTCCTATGGTGACACAGTAGGGCAAATACGACTTTAACGGCTCATGGACTGCTTCAAGCAAGGTATTGTTGTAATACCAATCTCTCCAAATGTCAGGCAATGAGAATGCTTTGTCATTGTCATCAAAATGTTTGTCTGCACATGGACTTTTGCGTTTGCAAATCGGACAGAATTAGTCGACTCAGGATGTGTGTAGATTACCACACTTTCTTCTCACACCAGCACGTAGGGTTTGTAGAAAATCACGTTTTTTTGTTATTCAGAAATGTCACTGCTCAATGAATTCGACACTGCTTTGCACAAAAACAACACAATCGATGGCAATAGGGTTTCTCACAAATGCCAAAGATACCCAACCTGTGGAACATCAAATCATATCCCCATGATATCCCATGACCGTTGGAACTTTTCAGCCCCTCAGCCCTGGTCCTTGTTGCGGCGGATCCGCTCCGGTCCCACCAGTTTAACCTGTGCGGCCTCTGATAGATACCTCACTGACTATGGGTCAAGACCCATGGAATTCCAAGGGTGAACCTCCAAATATCCCCCTCAAAGATGCAGGTATTGACCTGCAGCCATGTAAAACTCTGCCAAAGGGGGTCAAAATTGGATAGATCCAATACGAAAGCAGTGGAAAAGCCATGACCCTGCTGATGGTGAAAAGCTGGTAGACGGAACCTGTGGATTTCCAGTTTCCCCCAAAAAGTGCTCGGCAACTTAGCTGGACCAACGACAGTCTGGAAAGAAAGACTCTTGGAGGCTTGAAGCGATCAGACATACAAACTCTCTCTCCTGGTGATGTCAAACCTGATCCCGACACAAGTCTGAATTAAGCCCCCTGCCAGCAACTTTTCCGACCCCCAACCGTACAGTGAGAATTGCTACCTGTTGGTCTGGTACCATTTGCATCCACCCGTGGGTCGATCACTCTAGGGAGTGGCCCCTCAATCAACTAACTCACCAAGGTTTACTCAGATTCTCGCGTCATCTTCCCCTTTTCCTGTTGGTTTGCCATTACACTCGACTATACTCCATCTCCACCAGTGACAAAAAGACAACTCTATCTTGCTAATTCATCCAGAAAAAAATTGAAGGCTGAGGATGATTTTCCCTTTCCCCTATTGTGTCATTTGAGGTCAAAACAACTCCTCCAGAAGTTCTGATGTGGATCAAACCCCACTTGTTGCCATTTTAAATCATGTGAAGTCCCCTTTTGTGGTGAAATTCACCAGCAATCCTCCATTTTTCACAGATGAAATTCAGTGAAATCTTCCAGGCTTCTCCAACTTTCACAGGTGAACCCAAGTGGCAGCTGGGATTTGGCTGTCCGCCACACCAAGTCCAGTTCTTCCCCCATGGCCAGAGGTCAAGCGGCGGCTTGCGCAGAGATATCGAAACTCTTGGTGAAACTTGGTGTCCAAATAGACTGAGAAATATTGAAATTATTTATAGATCTATAAATATCTTATGATTCTGGTTCTGGAAAAATAATCTCGGGGTAAGCACGGTCAATTTGTGAAAGTTGGGAAACATTTTCGGAGCTCAGTACAAATTGCCAAAATCGTTGACCCGTTCCAAGCACTGAGGTGGTTCACTTCATCTGTCCTCTGGCGTCTTTGATGCAAGTTTGAACCGGCTTAGTTCTTAAATTTAAGTTTGTGATACTGCTCTACATTGAGAGCATCTTGAACCCAGTGGGCGAGCAGGATGGCAATGATTCATCATGATCACGCTGACAAAAACCAAGATGGTGTTTCATTCTAGGATCTGCACCTCTGCTTATTACCCCTTAGATTCAATGGCCCTCTGGGAACCTAACATAGCTATGGAAAATCACCATTTTGTTTTGGCTAAATCAACTCAAAAATCAGCCCATAGATCAACCAAAATCCGGAAAAAAAAAAAACACCACTTCCACACAGAATTCACCCCAAAGTTCGAAATTTCATCCATGAAATGATTCCCCCATTCAGATCCATTCAGAAACATCTCGTTGGTCAATTTTCCCGATCATATCCAAAAAAAATTGTGAAATCCACCTAATTTCATGATTAACCCACTATATAAATATCCCATTATTGATGGTTGATTTCCCACGATGTGCCCAATAAATTCCCTGAAATTCCAATTAAAATCCATTCGAGTTTCATTCAAATCCATAATCCACCCATTCAAAAATCTCAGTTTATCATAGTCCAATTAATCAATTAACATCCATTAAATTCACTCATTCTAATCATTCTAATCTCACCCAGTCCAAGATCACCGCCCACCTGCAGCATCACAGGTCTCAAGTCCTCACCAGTCTCCACCTTCAACGGAGCTGCCGCGATGGTCACCTGCCCATCCCGTTCCGGGATGGAATGGACAACTCAATGGCCGGAAAGTTAGAAAACTCAACGAAAAAATGTGTCAACACTGGCCTTGTGAAGGGGTAACCATGATGTAGGTTTTTAGTAGTTTATCATGGGGTTTCATGGGGATATAGCGGATACAAAAACGACGTGGGTTTGTCCAGAAATGCGGGTAATCCCCCAGGCCCAAAATTGTAGGAAATTGACAATCAACCACCGCATGAAATATAGTCCCCTATTTCAGCTAAACCCATATCAAATCCATCAATATGCATATATACGATGGTATGAATGATACCAGTAGACCAACACATGTTTACGGTAGCTACAGCCACATGTATCCAAATGTGACAAAGGTTGCGTTGATTTTTCTTGGACTGGATGATCGTGTATTTGTGTGTGCGGATAAAGTGTATATTATGACTGTATGTGGATCAAAGGATGGATGGGTGACGATGAAGATACCATGGAATGGATGATTGTTGCACATGTATGTATATGGGGAGAGGGAGGGAGGGAGGGGGGGAGGGGGGGAGGGAGGGAGGGAGGGAGAGGGAGGGAGCGAGAGAGAGAGGAGAGAGAGCGGGGCGGAGAGACCGATGTCAACAACCAAGATGATAGTTGGATGCATAAAGTGGAACTTCCAGATGGAGTCAGCCGGAATTGTCAGGTTCATTGCCTCATCATCTGCGAAGCCTGGACAAGTTCAAATCATGTTGACAGCGCACGTACGCAAAAAAAAACGCACTAGGTGTGGCCAAATTTAAAGGATCTCATGAGTATCAGCATCGCCTGCGCAGTAGCCAGGGCAAACCGTGTCCCCTTTTATCTTCTGACCTCATCTTGCCAAATGCGTCCCAAATGTGATAATGGTGTCAGTGGGCCACACCCAAGATCTATCAATCAGTCCACCACACACACCGTATGCAACAAACCGTTGAGAGTTGAATCGCGCTGGCACATACTGGCACAATTTCATTGAATTCAAGCTGGCTCCAAAAGGTGGCACGTAGGGATCCGGTCTCGTCTTGGAGTGTCAAAGGGAGACGCATGCGGGCGTCATCAATCCACAGGGTTTCGGTGAAGATTGCGGTTGTGAGGAGGTCCGCTGTGGCGACGACAGCTTGGCAGGTGTTGTCAGGCGACAGGCTGTGGATAGTGGTGGGTTGGAGGGATTCGCGGCGAAGGGCTTTCCTTGCCGGTTGGCTATCTTCAGCCAAGGCGAGGGCATCGAGCCAGGGCGGGTTGATCAAGCGCCAGGCCAAGCGCGTGGTCTCCAGGGTAGTGAGCCATTGTACTCACGTTTGACACAGCCGTAGAGGAGGACAAGCTGCTTGGGTTCCCAGGAAAGGGTTGCCATTGTCGGGTCCAGTACGGGATTTCAATGGCCCAAGAGAACAGGTAGATCATCTCCCGCACCAAGGCTTTGTCATCGTCACCTGTAAGTTGGACATCAACCGTAGGCTGAACCTGCATTGGCACCTTCAGTCGCATTGGCCAATCCACATCGCTGTCATCACCTGCGAAGGAGGGAACGAAAGCAAACCAGCGTTAAAACTACCTAGACATCCCGAATGAGTACTTTTTTAGGTCGACCAACAATTTTTCGTTTGAGGTTTGACCGAAAAAAAAACTGAATGGAAGGAAAGGAAGAAAAAACACAGAAAAAACGAAAGAACCTTAAAATATTCCAAAGTTCGCCATGTTTAATGAATCTTCATATTTATTTCGATAGGTAAAAATGGATTGAGTATGTTAAACTTTGCAAAATTTTCGGGTTCTGTGTTTTTCCCCACCTGCCAGGTGAGGGTTGTTAGATTTTATCAGAGCGCATGCCCACCTCCTCCTCCTCCTCCTCCTCCTCGACTAGCTGTCCTCCTCACCGTCCTCCTCGCCTCCGCCTCTTCCACCTCCACTTCCGCCTTGCTCCACCTCCACTTCCGCCTTGCCAACCTTGCCAACTCGTCGCCAAGCTCTTCGCCAACTGCCCAGCTCAGTGCGCACTGCTGGACGTCAACCTGTGAGCTGCCCAGCTCAGTGTGCACCGCTGGACCTCAACCTGCGAGCTGCCCAGCTCAGTGTGCACCGCTGGACCTCAACCGGGGACCTGCCCAGCTCAGTGTGCACCGCTGGACCTCAACCGGGGACCTGCCCAGCTCAGTGTGCACCGCTGGACCTCAACCGGGGACCTGCCCAGCTCAGTGTGCACCGCTGGACCTCAACAGCCAGATAGAATGCCAGAAGATATGCCAGATAGAATGTCAGATAGAATGCCAGAAGATATGCCAGATAAAATGCCATGAGATATGCCAGATAGAATGCCAGAAGATATGCCAGATAGAATGCCAGAAGATATGCCAGATAGAATGCATCAGATTTGCCAGATAGAATGCCAGAAGATATGCCAGAAGATATGCCAGAAGATATGTCAGATAGAATGCCAGAAGATATGCCAGATAGAATGCCAGAAGATTTGCCAGATAGAATGCCAGAAAATATGCCAGAAGATATGCCAGATAGATATGCCAGAAGATATGCCAGAAGATATGCCAGAAGATATGCCAGAATATATGCCAGAAGATATGTCAGATAGAATGCCAGAAGATATGTCAGAATATATGCCAGAAGATATGCCAGATTGAATGCCAGAAGATATGTCAGATAGAATGCCAGAAGATATGCCAGATAGAATGCCAGAAGATTTGCCAGATAGAATGCCAGAAGATATGTCAGATAGAATGCCAGAAGATTTGCCAATATTAAAACGTATAAATGTCATGGTGGGGATCACTCGAAGTAAAGTAATGTGATTGCTTTTTTGGAACAGGTAAACCCTTCGTGCTGGGAATCGTGGCACATGATGTTATATATATATATATACGGTCGAAATGCACAACATTAAAAATCTTTCAGGATATAAAAAACATGTGATATGGTTCCCAGTATCAAAAAGGAACATCTATATATATATATATGTCTATTCCTTTTAGCTTTCATAGCACAAATGTGATGTAGAATTTGCTTTGCACCAAAGCAAATAATCCATTTCTGCGCTTTGAGGGTTCCAGACTTGCATTTTTGTATGCATGTCGTCCTGTCACTTCCATGGAAAAAGTTTTCACACGAAAAAATGACAACAAAGGGGCCGGGTCCATTTCAGTTCTCAAATCGTGAAAGAGACATCTCAAAGAAGCATGGATGAGGGGACATACGACACAAGTAAGCAAAAGCTAAGGCAAAAACCTTGCGTCGAAAACCGTCGGAAACCGTCGGATGACTAAAAAGAAACTGGTTAAACCAAAAAAAGGACGCGAAATCCGTCGAATTCTTTTCTGATATATTTTCTCCAAAAAAGTCAATTTCGGACCCAAAAAAAAGCAGAGTTTGGCTGTAAATTTCACACGTATATGAAATTTTCAGGTGTCGCGACTTGAATTCTAGCATCGCCATTATCTGATAGTTTTTGCTTTCGCTTCGTGTTACGAGGAATATAGTCGACCTTATATGAGAAATATTTAGTTTTGCACTTCTCGGCTGATTGGATCCATGATCGGCCGACCGACTAAGCATCGGTCAATGAACAAATAATTAAATCCAATGATTGTTTCTTTTTTCTCTGTTTTCCTTTTTTTTGGGTTAAACCGGGGTGTTTTCTGTTTTTTCGCCTCTTTTTCGCTTTTTTCCCCCTTTTCTTCATTTGTTCGGTTTTCTATTCCTTTTTCTTTCTTCCCTATAAGTTGTGTCGGCTTTACGAACATATCTATTCTATGAATATAGGGAAGAATCGAGTCGACCAAAAAAGGGGGCCCGTGTTCGCCGACAATTTGGCAAAGAAAACTGCAATTTTTGCAACTATACTATATATATCACTGGAAAGTTACAACAAAAAAAGGGGGGCGCGTATTTGCCGAAAATTTGGCAAAGAAAATTGTCTTTTTCGGACCTGGGTGAAAACGAAGTGTTTGGTTAAACCGAAAACTGACTTTCTTTTGGTTTAACCGAAAAAAGTAGTCAACCTGGATGTCTATATAGGTACATTTCTACGGCGAGGTAACACGCACGATAAGTACCCATTTCGGGTACATGACCTGTAAAAACGATCAAAAATCACACCTCAACCACCGCCTATTTACGAGATGTTGGATTCACTCTTCAGCCTACCAAAAAACAACTTCAGCTAGCATCTCGGCTGGCTCTCGGAATCGGTCATCAGCACATCACCAATCTTCTTCCACGAAGCCACATCGTCCGAGAAGTCGTGATCACATTTACGTTCGTCCAAGAACTGCTCAGTGGGAGCAAGTGTCATCACGCCATAAGGCTGCAGCACAGTGCTTTGCGCAAGGCTGAGCCAAAACCCCAAGACACGAATACTCTTGCAACTGACTGTGTCTGGGTTGCAAGTTGCAAGCGAATGGTTCGAGCAACGCAGAAACGTCAATTCAAGTCTCAAGCGCACGATTCAGGAAGCCCAATTCTGTCCCAAATGCGCCAACCCACATCGAACTGTCAATGGCCACTGTCAATGGTCATTATTGGTACTTAGTTCAACTGATTCAATTGGAAATGTAAAGACATGTCATGGAACGTCTCACTGACATATTCCATAGTTCAAAGTAAAACACAAACTGGTAAACCAGTAAAAAAGCCCAACGAGACAACCACTTCAATTGTCAAATGCAAAAAGAAAGCTTTTTCTGCTCATCGAGGATGTAAACTCTGCTGTAAACAGCGCACCGACCATCGCAAGCCAGTCGAAGCCTTAGATTCGGCTGCAAAATTCAAGGCACTGCGAAATGATTTGATGCGACAGACATTTAGCAACAAAGTCCAACGGATCGCCAAAATGCGCTGCACTACTGCGCTAGCCTGTTTTCGGTTGCTGCTGCTGCAGCTCTGACTGCAGCACAATGCTGCAAGCTAAATGAGCAAATGTTCAGCCAACCAAAGGCGAGCTGCCCGATTCCGAACAAGACTGCAACACAAAGCAAACTGTAAACTACACAAACCACACGCCAATGTTGTGAATCTTGTGGCTGTTTTTTTCTGATGTTTCTTCAGGGCAGCTGTTCGCCTTAAAATTCTCTGACTGACTGAATTGTTTTCAGCAGCGTTGTCCAAAAGCTGAGCCTGGATCACTGCCTGTGGTTCAGTGGTCGGTCCAGATCGAACCATGGATCCTTTGAATTGGGCCATGGATTCCATGGATCACATTGTCCACACCATTCGTGCCCCTTCCAGGTGGAGTTGGGCATTCACCCACGACACGCTCGACCACCACCACCACGAAAGGCTTGCGGGAACCCTGCTTCATGAGTCTCAGGTGTCGGCGGGCCACGTTCTCTGGCTTGTGCCAGAGGGGCACTGGCTGGTCTGACATCAGGTCGACCACCACCATCACGAAAGATTTGCGGGCAGGTGTCGGCGGGCCACGTTCACTGCCTCGCGCCGGATGAGCACTGGCTGGTCCGACGTCAGGTCGACCACCACCACCACGAGCAGCCTGTACAAATCCTGCATCGACGTCACATCTGCCATGGCCGCTCGGCTAAAGTGGGCAGTCGATGCTACTTGGACATGACAAGCCCGACGGATGTCGTTCTTCAACGCCCTACACTTTCTGATTTTGATTTGTGCCCATTCATTCACTAACTGAATGGAAATTCAACATATGTCACAATCGTCAGCAGGTCTCAACCGCAACACCAACTTGAGCCCGAATTTGCCGACAAAACATATATACACATGTTTCATCAGTTTTTCCAATTAATAAAACTGCTACAATCAGAGATAACGATCAGCTATCAACAATGCCCAAACCGCGCTATCTCCATCTCCAACACGCTCACAATTTCGCGGCCTCTGGGGCACCACTAGAATCCCGAGAACCACCTAAACATATTCCTCAAACGAAACTTAACATGTATATATATACCAAAGCAATCTCTCAGATGACTGTTTCACATTCACAAACCTACTCCAGCACAGCTACAAGTATCAGCTAGCAAAAGTCACATGACCACATTATCGCCTTTTCCATGACACTCAAAGTCCCACAACCGCTGAAACATGACTAAAATTGTTTTGAAAAAATGCTTCACCAAGTCCCTCTCGTGAAATCTCGCACAAAAAGCCAAAATCCTGATTCATTTAGGAGTGCCCAATCACATCAACCTGCCACACATATATCATCAGCATTTTCTGCATTTCTAACAACAACTGCCATATACCGATCATATTCTAAACCGATCATCCAGAGCCTGTCGCAGCACTTCAGTCTACAGACATGTTCGCCCCCATCATAATACATGTAACCACCAACTTCTTTGGAACAATTTGAGATATGCCAAACCTTCCCTCAAGCATCACTATTGCGCTAGCCTGTCTTCAATTGCTGTTGCTGCCGTTCTGACTGCAGCACAATGCTGCAAGCTAAATGAGCAAATGTTCAGCCGACCAAAGGCGAGCTGCCCGATTCCAAACAAGACCGCAACACAAAGCAAACTGTAAACTACACAAACCACACGCCAATGTTGTGAATCTTGTTGTTGACATCAGTCTCCCTGCCTCTCTTGTGGATGTATCCAATAATAATCTTGTGGATGGATGATATGTGCGGCCCCATTTTGGGGGCCACCATCCCTTTTTGCGTCTGACCGTAGCCCCACATGGTCAGCTGGGATGGTTTATTGTTGGGGATCCCACGTGGTCAGGGGAGCAACCTGAGAATCTCCCAGCTTCTGGGGGCCCAACAAAAACCTCACCTTTTCGACTTCATCCTCGGCATTCTGAATCTTTTCATTGATCCCTGGCATCATCTCCTGACCAAAAAAAAGAGGGAAGACGCGGCGTACCAACCAGATTTCTATTTGGCTGTGTCTGAAAATTGGTTTGACTCTCAATAATGACCATTTTAAGAAGAAGAATGACTATGATTAACCAGTGGATGACTAGTTAGATAGGGTATACCCCCCAATGTGATCAATGTGCTGTTTTCATAGGGAAAAGGCATGAATTAACCATCGAATTTCAGTGTTTTTTGCCGACAGTCTCTACCAAAGCCATTCCAGGTCCTCAAGTTGCTGCATGTGTTCGTTCTCCTGGCTGCGGGGAAGAAAAAGATCAGATCCAGATGTCCAACAAGATCAGATATATGTATCAAAGATATAGGTATCAGATATAGATACCTCTATAAATATAGATATAAATATAAGATAGAGATAGAGATGATGTATGTATGTGTATATGTATATATAATATATACATGAATGTATATTATATATATATATATTTACATGAATGTATATTATATATATGGCAGATGGCTTCGGATTTGCTTTGGGAGTTTCTTGTGTTGTTTTCGGATGTTCTGTTTTTTAATAATATGTTGCGGGGTTATGGAGGGCTCACTGGAATTTTATAGTATTATAGATAGTCTATTTCAAATGGTGTTTCACTAATTAATCAAGTATCCACAATTTTAAGGAGTGTGTACAGTATTATTGTTACTGTCGGGGGTAAGTCAGAACAACCCGCGACAAAAATCCACCGGATGGTTTTCACGAAACGGAGAGTCATCCAATACACGGCGTGTTTTTGTTGATAGGACATATGGCCAATTGATACGACTTAACCCTACCGCTAGTCTCAAACATTGGGTACATGATACTTGGGCGGCGACCACCTATTATTGGGTATTGACTAAGCACTATACGCCATATCATGCTATATCATTCTTAACCATCTATTATCGAATGTGCATGGAATTGATCTTAGCCAAGTACAGCCTGTTGTTTCAATCTGCCGATTTGCATTTGCATTTGTATTTGTATTTGTTGTTGTTGTTGTTGTTGTTGCTGTTGTTGTTGTTGTTGCTGCTGTTGTTGTTGTTGCTGTTGTTGTTGCTGTTGTTGTTGTTGGTTGGTTGGTTGGTTGGTTGGTTGGTTGGTTGGTTGGTTGGTTGGTTGGTTGGTTGGTTGGTTGGTTGGTTGGTTGGTTGGTTGTTTGGTTGGTTGGTTGGTTGGTTGGTTGGTTGGTTGGTTGGTTGGTTGGTTGGTTGGTTGGTTGGTTGGTTGGTTGGTTGGTTGGTTGTTGTTGTTGTTTTGGTGGTCTGCAACATGTTTGTTGATGACGATCTTCAACACTTTAACGTTATGAGTTTGTCTGAAGCTGAGGTACCGTACCCCTAATTCCAATGTGAATTAATGATGTCCGCCATTAGAATGGAAATTGGGAGGACATCCCCCAATTTGTGGGCAAACCCATATCCATTCGTCATTGCTCAAATTCCAAGTGTTGATGGTTCAATCATCGTTACAGGAATCCCCATCAAAAAAATGCTTGGTTTACTTAGTTTACTTTCCATGGAGATTACAGTAACTGGTGGTACAGTTTACATCTCCATGGAAAGTCCAGAAAAATTCAATGGCTACGGTCACCTCTATTGAAATGAAGTCATCTCCGTACCGAAATCCACAACTTCCAGCAACTCAGGTGCCCCAGCCAATGGATTGAGTTCCGTCTCAACGAACTCGGCCTTGGCCTCCATTTCTTCCGCCTCCAGTTGGTATGGGGTCTCCAGGGATGATCATTGGCCCAAAAATATGGAGGTTTCCATTCCGGGGGTCTAAAAATCATCCATTTATAGATGGCTTTTCCATTGTAAACCAGCTATGGGGGTACCATCATGGCTATGGAAAGCCCCATTTTTCTCAACTGGTTGCTGGTTGACCTACCCCTCCGAAAAATGATGGAGTTAAAGTCAGTTGGGATGATTATTCCATTCCATTCCCAACTGTTTCTGGAAAGTCATGTCATCCAGTCATGTTCCAGTCAGCACCAACCAGATATTTCTTGTTATTCCAACTATTAACCATAGGTTAACCATAGGTTAACCATAGATTAACCATAGATTAACCAGGAAAATTCCATGGTTCCATAGATCAATCATTGTCTCCCCCGGCTCGGTGCTTTACCTTCACCTCCGTGGCGAGTTTCTTCTGCAAGAGCAGCAAGGCCTCCTTGAGATCAGCCTGGCTGTGTCAAACCGTGCCAAGTCAGAAAAACCATGGTGAAAAACATGGGAAACATGGGACAAGTCATGGGAAAATATGCAGAAAATGGTGGGAGATGGTAGGACTTGACCAACTCAACTTCAGGAAATTCAGGGAAAAACAAAGATAATTTGACAACTATAGCCCAGAGAAGTCTAAATAAGAAACCATGGGAAACTTTGGGGAAAAATGCTTAGTTTCACAGGAATCCAACTGCTTACTGTATGTTCACCAATCAGCGGTGGGAATGTAGCAA